TGACCGCCGCTTAAATTAATGCCTTTCTCTCCGATCTCTGTCTCGTCTCCGCCCGCGAGAGTCAACAGATCCGACTTCAGGGCACAGGCTTTGATCACTTTCCTGTACTTCCGGGAGTCAAACGGCTTTCCAAACAGTATGTTGTCTTTTAGAGTGGCGTTTTGTATCCACGCCTGTTGTGGCACATAAGCTACCTGTGCGTCGCCGTTGATGTTTACACTCCCGCCGCATATCTCCATATCTCCCAATAGGGCCGACAGAAGTGAACTCTTACCGGAGCCCACATTCCCGACGACTGCCACGAACTTGCCTTTCATTACTCGCATATTTATCTTCTCGAGGGTTGGCTTCAGTCCCGACTGCACCTCCTCTACTGAATCCCAAGTGAACGACCCGTTCTCTATCTTTACCACCTCTTTCTGATCGGTTTTTCGGGTCACATAACCCGAGAGTTCAGAGAAGTTCAGGAATTTATCCAATCGTTTGACGGAAACTAATGTCTGTTAAATACAATTAATATAAAACATAAGTAATGCTATCATAGATTGTATGCATTTCCATATATCGTTAGAATACTGACCAGTATCAAACTGGTAACCATATTGGGTACCATAGTTAGAGGAATTCTTAACAGATTGAACAGGGATATGGACACAAATGCCTTTTGCGCGTCCAGTTTGCCATTGGGATCCAATGCTATGTATAATCCAAATGTAATGAGTGATACGAGGAATGGCAGACATGTGGCCAGTGTTACGGTAATCGAGTTAATCATTCCGGACCTCCTAATCAGGTTTAACTCCTTTTGACGGATAGCCTGTATGTTCTCCACGAACGCCTCCTCCCATCCGTATAACTGTTTTTTTTGTGTAAACAATATTTGTTATTAAATTAGAGTATAAATTAATTATTGATATAAAAATATTTCAAGCAAAACGTATGAATTGATTATGAAAACTGTATGCTAATAATTAAGTAGTTGTTTTACTATTTAAATTTTGAAATAAGCTTTAAATATTGGAATGAGTAAAGTAGGTGTAATTATTATTTCTTTTGAGAAAGGTCTATTTTGATGAAATATACAACGTTCTCATAATAGTTATTAATCAATAGTTATAAATTCAATTACTTTTAAGACTTTAATTCCGCTGAGGATTTCATTCAAACCGCGGACTCTTTGGTCTTTGAGTTTCATTTGTTTGGCTTGAATTTGCCTTATTTTCGCCGAAACCCAGCCGTTGGTGGGAATCATGAGTATCATCAATACCAGCCCTCCCATTGTGGCCACACCTAACTCGTTGTATAGTAGATATAAGGATATAGCGATCTGTACCGGCGCCGTGTATATGAAGCTTATGAATGGCAACATATCTGGAAAATATGGTTTTATTGTATTATGGGTTTATTTCAACATTTAAAATGATAGTTAAAAGTGTTTTCCAATACATACCAACAAATCTCTGGGAGTCAACAGCCATGAGATTGACTATCTCTCCAGAAGTGGTGTCTTTCTTGGAGTGATTGCTCAGAACCAATGACTTCCTATAGACGGCGGATACTAAACACGTCCTGATCCTCATACCTACCCATCAATACATACATGAAATCAATAAATTGTGTTCAAAATGAGATATTGATTGACAAATTTGACTTATTAGTGAAATAGCAATACATACCCAACACAGACATACGCTGTGCCTGATATCCATTGATAAGACTCTGGAAAATGTTTGTGAATATAAGTAGTACGGCGTACATATATCCGTGCCAATTAGGCTCATCAGGGTCAGTGGTGAAACCAATCAATAGTCTACAAGAAATTTAAAAAATTAATTAAGAATTTAACAAACTTATTATAACTAATGGCATACTTCATGATCATAGGGTTACAGAGTTGTATGCAATCGGCAATCAATTTCAAAATACTGGGACCGAAAAAGTAAAACCAAAAGCCTTTGGATATAACAGTCATTAGTTTGCGTTTCTTATGAACGGGTTTCAGATTATCGGGTTTAGTATTGCCATTCATTTCCTTGTGTTTAATATCTCCCGTTCCTCCCAACTCCTGCGCTACTTTCTCGTCCGTTTCGTTATCCAGTGTTTTACTCCCTTTCCATATGGTATTGAATTCCGAGTACACAGTCTTACAGCTGTCTTCCCGGCGCACGTCCCACAAGTCATCACTGGTTAACGGATTCTTCCAGCCCTTCATTATGAGACCCGTTATCCACCAGAATGTCAGCCTCGACGGGAACGACACCTTCTCTTTAGGGCATAGCTTTGAATAGTTTCCCAGTTTTTCGCTATAATATTGGTTTGGTTGTGAGTCCGGGAATGAGTTCATGACAAACAGGATTATAGTCAACGAAAATTGCACTAAAAATAGCGAATATTCGTGTGTTTGTCGGATATCCCTATCCATTGAATAGATGGCCACCGATAGGGTCTTGAAGACCGAGTCCATCAATAGGTAGAACCACACGATTCCACTGCAGTGTATGCCAGACAACCGGTGGCTAAACAAAACTACACATAATAGTAGGCTTGCGATCGAGTATATGCCGGTAGATAGTAGGTATGCCGGGGTAGGTTTGTCATCAAACTGAAACTCTCGTAATAAACAGAGTATGAAGTCCACAATTGTCACTATAGCTAATGCGAGGGCTAATGTTAATCGGGATATATTGTAGGCATTCCATGGAATGGATGGCTTTCGGCAACGGATAATGTCTGTGATTACGGCCGGAAGACATATCGCGAGGAATATCGCGGGAATCCATGTGAAGGCAGTCTCGGCTANGGCCGGAAGACATATCGCGAGGAATATCGCGGGAATCCATGTGAAGGCAGTCTCGGCTATACATGCGGTCAGTTTGGGTGATGTGGTGTTCCAACTTAGTTGACCATCCTGGTTAGTTTAGAAGTTTGTTGTTTAATTTTAATTAATTAGGTAATTAATTAATGTATATATCAATTTAACTGTAAATTATATTATAATTGTATAAACATAAACTATAGAAACTAATGTAATATTAAATAGAAATTACAGATTATAGTATACTAAAAGCCTTAAAAATGTAATTAGGATTTGTACGCTATTACTGTATTATTTCTTATCCTAATTATAGCTAATTGACACTACATTACAATTATTTACATTATACTAAATCTCAAGTATTTGCCATTGATAAATAATAGTTTTACAACGGCATAACTACTAGAACCTAATCCCTGATAACTTATTTTCAAGTGTAAGTAAAGATAAGCTTATGCTATAAATGAGACTGAAAGCAATGATTTATTATAATTCTTAACTTACAAATATTCAATTTAAATTTTTTAATTAATTAAAATTTTTAAAAATATTAAATAAAACATTTTTCAAATACATACCCAAAGCGGATCATTGCATATATTATCAAATGTATTTATAACACTCATAATAATTTGAATTTCACAAAGCAATTCTTATAGAAATTAATAATTCATTTATAAGTAATTGCAGAACTTGACTTGTTAATTTAGTCAATTACTAAAAAACTAATGAAGCTTATGTTATGTGGACTAGTATTTAAAGGATTTTTTACATTCTTAGGGAAAGTACTAAACACAGTGATAATGAAATGTACTTGCTTATCAGTGAACACATTGTCATTTAGGTAGAATCATAATAAAAGTTTTACTTAATGTGTAAACTTTCTTGTTAAGTGCTTGAGGTACAATTGTCATATTTATATTTATGATCAGGATAACT